CCCTGCTCATCAGTGGGGGAAGCGCCGCCCTGCCCCCTCCAGTCCTGGCACTGGCCCTGCGGCGAAGCCATAGCACAGCGCTCGGCCCAAAGCAGATGCTCATGGAAACGAGGCAGCCCACATGCCCGTGCCGCGCACACAAAAGCCGTGCCTTAGAGTAGGAGTCAGGCACCGCTCCCTCCCCGCAGCAAAGCAGCCGTGCGTGCCAACAACATCAGAACAGATCCCTCCTGGAAACCACTCATCAAACGCCAAACAATAGTTGTTTTTCTCAAACCGGCTCCCCCCCTCCCCTGCGTCAGGGTTTTGGCTGCGGAAGACACTGCTGCTGCGGGCGGACGGCGGCTCCGCGAGCTCAGTCCTGCCAATCCTCGCAGACAGTCACCCACCTCGCGTCCAAGATGCCTTCATACTCAGACAGCTGCCTCATGAAGCCGGCGTTGGGGCGCGTGATGCTGCGCTTCTGCTTCACGTAGTTGTAGGCTTTCTCCAGGGGCCAGCCGAATTCCTTCATCGCATAAGCGATGACCGTGGAAGCGGAGCGGCTGACACCCATTTTGCAATGTACCAGGCATTTGGAGCGGTTCCTCCTGGCGGGGGAGAGAGTTTTAAAGAAGCTGAACTTCGCGCTCTGTTTTTTTCACAACGGACAGTTTTAAACCCTGACGTTATGTCACTGCCAAAATGCTCCCAGTCCCGATGTTTACGCAGCCCATGTCCACACACCCTCTAAAGGAAATCGCTTCCCTGCGAAATCAATTAGCACACAATGGGGAATCAAGATAAACCTCTCCTTGCCCAGCAAGTTTTGCAGGGAGAGCTCAAGATCTGGGCGGACTTCAGGGACAAGGTGGGTATCTTCCCACGTCGCTGGGATAGGCTTGGAGACCAAAAATCCTTTTGTGGGAAGCAAGTGGGCAGCGAAAGAGAGATCTGCAAGACAGAGTTCTAGATACACAGCGGCTAGAGCAGATGGAGACGGGGAAGGGTTACTACAGAAGAATGGGGTCAGAGAACCGGAAGCCGCAAGGCCCTCGGGAGACAGGAGGTCAAGGAGCCAGGGCGAGGCTAGCAGCACCACGGACTTGGCCGAGACAGAGACAAGCCAGGGGAGGATGGGGCCCTAGGTTGTGAGGAGGCAGTGCTGGCCCGGGTGCGGCTGATTGAACAGATAGGACAAGGCCAGACACGGCGCTCCTCCATATGGATGGCTGGAGAATGTGAGGGAGCGCCGGGCTGGGGAGGGCAGCACCTGGCAGCTCCGTGTGCCCGGGAGGCGAGCCCACCTGTCTGCCTGTTTACATTAGGAGGAGCCAGCCTGTCAGTCGAGCAGGCTCATTTCTCCTACCTCAGGCTTAAAATTCATCACCGAATCTCAGTGCCTTTTTTTTTTTTTTTGACTGCTGGTCTGCTGTCTACCCCAGGAATGCAAACTATGAAGTCACGTAGGGAAGAGCAGGTTATGTAGCTTTGACCTGGAGGGGTGCAGAGCGGAAGATGGGGTTCCCAGGGGTTCTCTCTGTTCTGACTGCATAAGGCAGAGCTGTTCCGCAGGAGAATACGGTGAGGACCAGAGTTGCGTGAAACCATGGCGGGCTCACGGTCTGTCCCATTCTGCCGGGACGGGACAGTCGCGCTAGCCCAGGGGGGAAGGCAGCCCCAGCTCAGGGCATCGCCTGAGTAGGCTTCTCTGAGGGAGCAGTCCCAAAGGCGCTCGAAGTCCACACACAAGTGGCCCTCCCTTCTCTCCCCTTTGGCTCAGCGACTCCCTCGGGCAGAGCCTCCCAAGAGTGCTCATGTGGTACCGGATTCTTAACTGGAACCAGTGCTGATGATGAAACGGGCCAAATGTCACAGCCAATGCTCGGTGGGAGAGAACCAGCTCATTCGGGCCCCCACCTGGAGATCAACAACTCTGAGGGGTCCTGTGGTTTGAAGTCACGGGGCCACCAGACACCCAGGCTCCCTAAAGCCACAAGATGTCCGTGTCCTGGGCTGTCATTAATTTCTGCCCACCCAGCACCCGCCAGTTTCTCCCTCAGACCGGTTTCTGTGGCTTCTCCGCCCACTTACTTTGCTTTGTTTATAAAGTGGTACGCCTCGTTCCAGTGGGCAAGAAGGTCTGTTGTCTCTTCATCATAGACTCGGATGTTGTGATATGCAAATAAGCCAGGGAAGAAATTATCGATTTCTCTAGTGACATTTAAGATGTAGTCAACACTGCAATGACAAAAAAGAAAAAAAAGAAACACATTTGGAGAACCAGAATGAGGAGCTACGAAAAACAAAATAACCAAAAATTGAACAGAGAAAAAAATCAAGTATGCATTATTAAAGGGCATATGTTTTTTGGTAGGACTTCTGTTTTTTTCTTAATAGTAATTTTTTTTTGGTATTTTCTAAATGCCCTCTCTATGATGAGAATGTATTATATTTATAATAACAAGCAAACTTCTTTATAAAAAATTTATAAAAAGAAAACAGTTCAAAGCATTGCTAAGGAATGTTAACTCTGGAAGGTAGATATATATTACTTAAATGCATTTTTACTAGGTGCACCAGTTAATTATGCGGATTTTTTTCAAGATGGAGTTACACATATGTTGATATAGATGCGATTTGATATGTATGCGATTTTGTTGTATTGCTCCTTCAGGTGACCACTTGTTCTGATCGATGGCACATGCAGTTTCTGAGCAGCACTTCAAAACGTATGAAGAAGTGGAAAATCGGGTCTCTGAATGGTCTGCCTCAAAACAAGAAAAGTTCTATTGGGATGGTACCCACAAGTTACCTGAAAGATGGGGGAAATTTGTAGCTAGCGATGGACATTACTGTGAATAAAGCACTTTTGATGTTTCCCTTGAAATTATCCTGTTTTCTTTGATTACAAAATCTGCATTTTTAATCGGTATCTGCATTTTCAACCTGTCTGGTGAATACAGTGGGTGGGTTAATACTTCCCAGGCAAGACCTTTTAACGTGTCTTTAACTGGTTTTGAAGTGTGTGATGGTGCGTCATGAAGCAAAATTACTTTGCCATGTCTTCTGGCCCATTCTGGCCGCTTTACAATCAGAGCATGGTTCAAATTGATTATTTGTTGTTGGTAGCGATCAGTATTAATGGTTTCACCTCGTTTTAGAAGCTCATAATACACCACACCTTCCCGATCCCACCAAACGCAGAGCATTGTCTTCTTTCCAAAGCGATTTGGCCTTGCAGTCAATGTTGATGGTTGACCTAGATCAACCCATAATTTTGTGAGTTTGGGATTTTCAAAATAAATCCGCTTTTCATCACCAGTCACAATTCGATGCAAAAAAGACTTTCTTTTGTGCTGTTGAAGCAACATTTTATTGATGACTTTTTGGTTTTTCATTTGTCTTTCGTTCAGTTGATGTGGCACCCATTTTCCTTCCTTTAAATCTTTCCCATTGCTTGTAAATGATCAGAAATTGTTTGCTGAGCAACGTTTAATCTTTCTGCAAGTTGTTTTTGAGTTTGACACGCATCTTCACCCAATAATGCTTGGAATTGTTGGTCTTCAAACTTTTTCGGTTGACCTGGACATTCTTGGTCTTCCACATCGAAATCATCACTTTTAAAGCGTTTAAATCAGCGTTCACAAGTATCTTGAGATACAGCATGTTCACCATAAGCTTCCTGAAGTATACAATAACTTGCAGCAGCACTTTTCTTCAAAATAAAGTAATGAATTATAACTTCCCGCAAATGCTCTTTTTTTGGGCACGAAATTCGACATTTCTAAGTGTAAAAATATCTATGATGTTAACGCCTTCAGAAAATCTGACATATGAAGTTTTGAAGCTTGTTGTCAATACAACAAAATAGCATACATATCAAATCGCATATACATCAACATATGTGTAACTCCATCTATTGAAAAAAAATCCACATTATGAACCGGTACACCTAGTAAACTCAAAGTCTCAAAATTCGTAACTATTCCGAGCATACAGAGGCTTTAAGAAAAAACAAAGTTTCCACTTTTAAATAGTTAAAAAGCAGAATACATTTGTCCATTACTTATGTCCTTGGGAACTACTTTACATCCTTTTTAAAACAAGGCAGGCCATAAATAAATAAATAGCTGAGAGGATCTGCCAACCAGGTTTTGTAGGTCTCTAAACTGAATACTTATATTCCTGGAAGGCAAAAGCAATTTCAGGAGGTTGAAAACACCTCAAGTAGATTTTATAAGTGAATACTTAACAAATGCTTTAAAAAAATACCTTTAAAATAATTTACTTCTTCCAAGGAAAACAGAAAGCATAGACAGTATCACCCTACCTTTTAAGAATACTTTCTGTTGAGAGAATACATCTTAACCGGCAGTTCTAAAGATATATTTTAAGATTTGTTTAGTCTTGATTTTTAAGTGCAGTAATTCAAGGATGTCATCATGTCAGACCCACAGGACGGTGATTTTGTGGCTGTGTTGTGTGTTTTTTTTAAATGTCCAGACATCTGTTCTTGAAGGTCTAGATTTAAACATTTTTTATTCCTGCTGCTGGGCATTTCTCAGACCAAGGCAGGCATGTGTTTCTGCCCAATGCTGAGTATTTAGCTCAAGGTTCCCTCCAGGCCCAAAGATAGAAGCTCAGATAGAACCAGCAGTGGTGGTTCAGGGGTCAGAGGTGCTGACTGGCCAACAGCTAGGCATGTCCACACCGGGCCTCTCGGCAGCTCTGCAGGGCAGTGGGCCGGTGGGCGGGGGCTCGTGGCCCTACCAGCACAGCATCCAGGCCGTCTATCCCACTGGACTGTGATTTAGGATCATTCTCTGGGGGACACACACACCATCACACAAACCCCAGGAAAATCTAAACCCATGAATTATTCAGGAGGTGGCATTCTGAAGCCCATCTGTGTAGCTATGCAGATCAGCCTGGCTGCTGGGGTGCAGGCAATTACAGGCACAGGCAGGCAGCACAGGGCTGGCCCTGACCTCGGGGGCAGAGCCCAGGTTCCTAGGCTGCCTAGAGGGAGAGGGAGAGGGGAAGACAAGGGGAGCAGACTCACCCTGAGCCCTGCAGCTCCTCCAGATTAGATGCATTCCATTCAGAGCCCTGGGGGACAGAGCACACGGTTAAATCCCCATGAGTGTCACATGTCAGCTTCAGACTGCTTACAGCCCTCATGGTGATGGTGAGTACATGGGCCCCTGGCCTCAGAGAACAGAGGTATCAAGGCAGGTTCCCGAGGCATCCACAGCACAACAGGGGAAGGGCAAGCGCAGGAAAACCTGTTCCCCTCTCACCACTTCCTTTCCTGAGACGCCAGCAGGGTCCTCTCATGGGAGGCAGTGACCTCCGACCTCTGACTCAGGAGGGGGCACCTCCACAGACCTCTAATTACAGCAGAAATCAGCCTACCTTTTCCGGGAGGTCTTTCGGTAATATTAATATTCTGACCCGGAAATTTCACTTACAAAACCTTACCCCAATGAAATACCCAGAATTTGCACAGAGATTTATGTACAAAGATACTTAAGGTTATTTACAGTAACAAAATAGGGTAAACAACCCCAAGGTCCAACAGGGAGAAATTAGTAAAACAAATGATGGTGGATCCACATGATGGAGCCATGCAGACAACTCATACTTTTGGAGGGTATTTCACAACACAGGGAAGCACCACATCATGACAACAAAAATTTAAAGGACACAAATCTACGTAAACACAAACAGTACGCTTCTTCCCTTTTCTTTTCCTTTTTAAAAAAGTTACACACGCGTGAAGAAAACCCAGGAGACAGAAAAATAAAGATACCAAAATGCTAACTGTGACGACCTCTGGATTGCGAAATTAGGAATGCCTTTCATTTTCTTCTTCAGACTCACTTATATTCCCAACTTTCTGTAACATTTTAATTTAATACTTAAAAAACGGTATTTAAAAACAAAAAACAAACAAAACAAACCCTCCATTTCTGAGCATGCAAAGGACACAAAGAAAAAACCACCACTCTGCTCCTCAGAAATGCAAACAACATAGAATCACAAAGAGCAACAACCCTGCGTGGTCCCCCCATGACTGCCCTTCCCAGAGGGCGGACCCGGCAGAGGCAGGGGCTTCAGGGACCTGCGGGGACTGGCCACGTGTGGGTGCCAGTTGGATTTCCATGTTGGAGGGAGAGGCTCAAACACAGAAATTCCTTTGGTATCTCTCATGGAAAAAGTGACATAGAGCACCAACCACACGGAAAAGGAACTAGCGCTTCTCTAAGGCTGCGAGCGTCTTCTTGCCGTGATCGCCACCTAGTGGGCAGACGGGCCGGCGGTGCGTTGTGCTGTCTCCACCAGGGAGAACCATCACCTTCTCCGGAGACCAGAGGCCAGCGCTGCCACATAGCTTTCATCTAGATACGGGCTTCAAACCCACACATTTATAATCATCGTAACATGAAATACGTATGCAGACATCTGAAAGTACATTAAGTATGTATATTTAACCCAGTAGCCAGCTCTCACGACACACGCATGTGGACGACCATCAGGCCGGGGAGCGGGAGCTGGGCCCGGAGGGGCGGGCTTTCATTACTACGCTGCGCTGCCTCTAATTTTAGTAACGTGCCCTCTCCTACAGTCTCTGACTTTGAAAACTTGCCAGTTGCCTTCTATGGAGATTTACAGCTTTAAGAAAATCTGAGCGGGCGATGGAGGCTGCCTCACTGGGCTCTGCGGACAGCCACGGCTGCCTGGCCACGCAGAGGGGAAGCTGCGCTCCAGGTGTCTGTCCGGTCTGCCGTCCGTGCTGTTTCTCACGTCTCGGGGTTCCCAGGCATAATTCTGGGGTTTGGTGAGCACGCTCCCTTTAGTCACTGGGGGTTTTAGCCTGCAGCCCATTTGGAGGTATCTGGATGGGGCCTGTGCTAGCCCCTGAAGAAGGGATGGCAAGAATCTGAAAACGGTTGCCAGTTAACTATCAACCCCCCCCCGCCCAGCCCAGCTGTGGCAACATCGCAAGCATCGGGCTGGAGA